CCCCAAAACCCCAAAACCCCAAAACCCCAAAACCCCAAAACCCCAAAACCCCAAAACCCCAAGTATTGCCTATAAATAGATTATAATTATATTTTAAAATATGGATAGGAGTGAAATGATTGTTATGGATTCAGAAAGTCAAGATTATTTCAATGAAAGTGTTGGAGAATCTATGAATATACATGCGCTGAACAACCCTCATCATTCCTCTAATGACAACGATGGACATGATATATATTATGATAGGAAGAACTCTAATTATCAGGATTTCAGCTTGAACGATATATCGTATTTCCAAAAAGATTTAAAGCTTTCTGAACGAAGCAACTCTGAAATCTGAGATTTATTCAGACTCACCCCACAAGACATGGCTAACGAGAATCCGGCGTTTAGTTTCCTGAAGAGCCTGAGCCAAGTGGCTTCTGAAAATGGTGAAGATGACCCAAGCCCGAAGGAATCTATTCGAATTATAAAATGCTCTAGTTATAAAGAAAGAAAAGGAAGCATCCGGCTAGACGAGAGTGACTCTGTAAGACTCTTTGATGTAGAGTCCCTGCTAAGCAAAAATGACGCCAAGAAGGATCTATTTCTTCAAGATGAAAGTGCAGATGTTAGGAAAAATGATCTAGGTGAAGGAGGTAAAGATGTTCAAATAATGGTAGAAGAGCCCAAGTTCCTCAAGAATGAAGGAAAATTGGTCTTTAAGATCATTAAATTTGATAAGGTGACCAAGAAAGAGCGGAAGTGTCTCAACAAGACTAGAAGAATAATTACCAAATGCTCCCATACTTCTTCAAAATATTATGCTAAGGGGATGTGTAAGAAATGATACCATAACTATGGAAGGGAGAAGAAGGCCACAGTTTGCGGACACTCAGATATGCCCTTGTATGCTAAAGGGCACTGAAAGAAATGCTATCTCTCAAAATATAAACAAGAAAACAGCTCAAGAAAAAGACCTAACACCAACTCCAATAAACTAGATAGCATCTCCTACGATATTAGTAAATCGTCAGTTGGGGAGAAGCTAAGTAACGAAAGCCAAGAATTCGGTGAGCACCACTCCAAGTCTTACGATGAATTCGACGATGTATTCTAAAACATATCTCCAAAATATTGGTGACTATTGGGTTTAGTTGAATGCTGGTTTACATCAAGGTTATATGAAAATTCAACTAATCCTATTGCTTATCTATATCTCTTCAAATTAATTATTTCAATTGGATTGATTCATTGAGGGGTTTTGGGGTTTTGGGGTTTTGGGGTTTTGGGG